GTTTTCTTTCTTGCCACCATGGGTTGGGGGATACACTGATTAGCACTGCAGCCAATTTGAGCAGGTGCTAATTGAATGAAAATATACCAAAAACTCTGTTTGAGAGAAGTAGATCATTAAGTTGACTCTAAAACAGGAATAGATGAATCGAAATTTGGCCCTGCTGAACCGGCTGAATTTCGATCCATCTATGTCCAGCTTAGTGGTTGTAAACTGCACACATTTAATATGAACAAAGCATATCCCTCAACGGTGTGTACTAGTGTCAATCCAGGGTCAAGTGTCATTTCCATCTGCTTCCTCTTTCCTTTGCTATCTGCATGAGTCACAAGTATTCCTGCCAACAAGAGGAAAAAGGTGACAGGGGGGAGATGTCCAGCACACAGCCTGTGATTGGCAGCCTCAGCTCTGTTCCTGTGTTCTGTGTGAAGAAGGGGCTTTGTCTGTTTCCTCCAATCAGCTCTCAGCTTTCCTCACTAGGCTCCATGGAGTGTAGCAGACTTCTTCTCCCAGCCCACTGCTTTCTGAAAGGTTGTATAAATTCTGGACTTTGAATGGTTACATAGAATAGAAGTCTGCAGATAAACAAGTACAGCTTATGTGGGAGGATTTGTTTAATCTCTGCATATCACCTGAGGCCAGTCAATTCACTGGGTATATACAGTTTCAAGAAAAAGTATGTGAACCCCTTGGGATTACGTGGAGTTTTGCATGAATTGGGCATAAAATGTGCTCTGAACGTCATCTAAGTCACAACAATAGAAGAACACAGTCTGCTGAACATAATACTACACAAACATTAGATGTTGCCATGGTTTAATTGCATATAACATGTAAACATTCACAGTGCAGGGAGGAAAAAGTATGTGAACCTTTGTACTTAATAACTGGATGACCCTCCTTTGGCAGCAATAACCTCAACCAAACGTTTCCTGTAGTTGCAGATCAGACCTGCACAACGATCTGGAGTAATTTTGGACCACTCCTCTTCACAAAACTGTTTCAGTGTAGCAATATTCTTGGGATGTGAATCGCTCTCTTAAGGTCATGCCACAGCATTTTAATCGGGTTGAGTTCAGAACTCTGACTGGGCCACTCCAGAAGGCATATTCTGTGCTGTTGCAGCCATTGTTTTGTTGAATTACTTGTATGCTTTGGGTCATTGTCCTGTTGCATCACCCATCCTCTGCGGAGCTTCAGTTGGCGGACAGATGGTCGTACGTTTTCCTGCAAAATGTCTTGATAAACTCTGGAATTCATTTTTCCCATCAACGACAACAATCCGTCCAGGCCCTGAGGCAGCAAAGCAGCCCCAAACCATGATGCTCCCTTCGCCATGTTTTACAGTGGGGATGAGGTTTTGATGTTGGTGTGCTGTGCCTTTTTTTCTCCACACATAGTGTTGGGTGTTCTTCCCAAACAACTCAATCTTGGTTTCATCTGTCCACAGTATATTTTGCCAGTAGTGCTGTGGAACATCCAGGTGCTCTTTTGCAAACTTCAAACGTGCTGCAATATTCTTTTTGGACAGCAATGGCTTCCTCCGTGGTGTCCTCCCATGTACTCCATTCTTGTTTAATGTTTTCCTTATTGTAGATGTGTCAACAAAAACGTTAGCATGTGCCAGAGATTTCTGTAGGTCTTTAGCTGACACTGTGGGATTCTTTACCTCATGCAGCATCATGCGCTGTGCTCTTGCAGTCATTTTTACAGGACGACCACACCTAGGGAGAGTAGCAACAGTGCTAAACTTTCTCCATTTGTAGGCAGTCTGTCTTACCGTGGACACATGAACATCAAGGCTTTTGGAGATACTTTTGTAACCCTTTCCAGCTTCATGCAAGTCAACAATTCTTGATCGTAGGTCTTCTGAGAGCTCTTTTCTGCGAGGCATGGTTCACATCAGACAGTGCTTCTTGAAACAGTAAACCCAAAACAGGTGTGTGTTTTTAAGGGCAGGACAGCTGTCAGCAACACATCCAATATCATCACACTGATTGGAGTCAAGGTTGGCTCACTCCTGGCTCCAATTAGCTCTGGGAGAAGTCATTAAGCTAGGGCCTCACATACTTTTTCCTCCCTGCATTGTGAATGTTTACATGTTATGTGCAATTAAACCATGGCAACATCTAATGTTTGTGTAGTATTATGTTCAGCAGACTGTGTTCTTCTATTGTTGTGATTTAGATGACGTTCAGAGCACATTTTATGCCCAATTCATGCAAAACTCCACGTAATCCCAAGGGGTTCACATACTTTTTCTTGCAACTGTATAAGCATTTACATTCACTTGAAGGCTGCATGCACACACCTAGAGGTGCTTCTCATAGTGTGCAGGGGTAAATATAAGATCTTTTTAGTTTCCACTTTAAAGTGATTCTAAAAGCTTACATTTTTAATTTTTTTTTTAATAACATACATGTCTATATTTACCTGCTGTGCGCAGTGGTTTTGCACAGAGCAGCCTGGATCTCTTCTTGGGTCCCCTGCCAGCGCTCCTGGCCCCTCCCTCCTGTCAGGTGTCCCCAGAGCAAGTAGCTTGCTATGGAGGCATATGCTGCTCTGTGTGTCCATTCACACATGGAGCTGTGGCACAGCCCCGCCCACTCTCTCTTCTCATTGGCTCACTGGCTGTGATCGACAGCAGTAGGAGCAAATAGCTCCCGCTGCTGTCTAAGCCAATGAAGAGGGGGAGTTCCGGGATAGTTGAGACCACAGTGCACATCGCTGGATTGAGAGGGGGGCTTAGGTAATTATTAGGGGGGATGCTGCATAGAGAAGGTTTTTTACCTTCATGTATATAATGCATAAAGGTAAAAAACCTTGAGCCTTTACAGCCACTTTAATATTTCTAAAAGTGTTTGTAAACCCTAAACTCTGCATGTACTGTATAAAAGTTTGTAAACCCTAAATACTCTGCATGTACTGTATAAAAGTGTTTGTAAACCCTAAATACTCTGCATGTACTGTATAAAAGTGTTTGTAAATCCTTAGTAATGCTAGGTTTACATCTATGCAGGTGCAGTATTGCATGTAGATTGCACATGTTCCCTCACCCGCAGCAAAAGCATGCTGCTGTTTAGCAGCTGTATGGGGTGCTATTAATTGATAATGATACCTCAATGCCTTGGAAACCATGTCACAGTTAGCCGTGCTGGGAAACACAAGTGCACCATGCAGTTTCCATGAGGCTAAAGTTTTAAAAAAGTTGCAGAAACCTTTTCCCTGTGTTTTTCCACAGGTATAGCAGCCCATTCAAATGACTGGGCTGCTGTACCCAAGAAAACGTGGCTGCAGGGAAACTGCATAGATGTGAACCTAGCTTTCGCACTAATAAACCTCTTTTGCCTGCTCCCTTTTGGTTTGTTAAATATTCAATTTACAATGGTTTTTATAGTTGTTTGGTAAGTGCCAAATGTCAGGTAACATTATTCTCAGCTACTGTATCTCTGTGGACTACAGACTATCTTCCCTCCCATGTTATTGTGAAAACGAGAGGAGCAGATGTTCTGTAGTTCTGCCCTATTGTGACAACACTGGTTCTCCATGGATACAGTGTGGTGAGTTAACATTGTTGTGCTAGAACCCGAAGGATGTTACTTGCAGGATTACCATAGTTTCAAACATGCCTGGGACAGGCATAGATCTATACTCAGACAAAAAAAAAACAAACGAAAAACAAAAAAACCCAAAAATAACATAAAATAAAACAAACACCAAAAAATGAGTGGACTTGATAGACCACTCTTTTTCTGTCGTCACTTTTCTATGTGTCTATGTTTCTATATAAAATATAGGAAGAAAGCCTGAACAAAAACAAATGAATGAAGTCAACAAATACTGTATAAGGACTGTTAAGTTACAATATATTACATTTTTATTCTTGAGTGTAGATGTGCTTTAAGCTTGATTTTGTGATTAAAATAATATGTTTAAAGGACAACTGTACTTTTAAACTAAACTTCTCTAACCCCCCACCTTATCTCCACCCTTCCAAAATGACATACATTTAACCCCCTAGATAAGCTTCTTACTTACCTCTGTTACACTGTATTTTGCAGAGATACTATTTAGTACCTACTGCACCTGAGCACCACATAGGCTTGTATGGAGGCATCCAGAGGAGCAGCTCTCTGAGATTGTAGAGTCAGATTGGTCATAGTGATAGTACCCAACAGTCAGATTATAATTTGTGTGTGTGCTAAATTTGGATTGTTTAACCACTTGCCCTCCTGAGGATTTACCCCCCTTCCTGACCAGGCCATTTTTTGCTATTCGGCACTGCAGTATTTTAACTGACAATTGAGCGGTCATGCAATGCTGCACCCAAATTAATTTTACGTCCTTTTTTCCCCACGAATTGAGCTTCCTTTTGGTGGTATTTGATTGCCTGTGCATTTTTTTTTTTGTGCTATAAGCAAAAAAAGACCAACAATTTTGAAAAAAAAAAAAACAATATTTTGGACTTTTTGCTATTAAACATGTCCAGTAAAAAAATTTTTAAAATCAAATTTCGTCATAAATGTAGGACAAAATGTATTCTGTGACATGTCTTTGCTGAAAAAAATCCCAATATGTGTAAATTAATTGGTTTACGTGAAAGTTATAGAGTTTACAAATGGCGGTATAGATAATGGGATTTTTTTTTCCACCAGTAATGGCGGCGATCAGCGACTTTTAGCGGGATTGCGGCGGACATTCTCACACTGGGGGGAACTAATTTGGTGTCACTGACATCCCCAGTGGCACCAATACAGTGATCAATGCTAAAAAAAAAGCACTGACACTGTACTAATGGCACTGGGCAGGAAGGGGTTAATGTGAGGGGCGAGCAAAGGTTTAAATATGTGCTGGGAGTATTTTACTAGGGGGTGGGGGTGTTCTTCCCTGGAAGCACACTGACCGGGATGGCTGTACTGTGCACAGCCATCCCAAGCAGTGTGCTCGAGCTGACAGGGAGAAAAATTGTTTGTGAACAAAACAATCTTCCTCCCTGTCAGAGATGCTCGGTAGTCACCGGGCGCCGGTGGGTAATTACTGTCCGGGACCCGGTGATTGACATCTGCGGCCACGAATGGCGGCACGGGTAGGGTGCACGCGCCCCGTACCCGGAAATGCAAAATGACGTATATATACGTGATTCTGCACATAGGTGCCGCCCTGTAGAAGTATATCTGCTATAGGGCAGTCCTTAAGCGGTTAAAATGTGGCCATTTTGAGTTTAGATTGCCCTTTACTTTGTCATTTTTATGGTTAATTAGGGTTTCCCGGTAATTTAGTTATTGCTTTGAATAACAACAGTCTTCTTATTTACACTGCAGAGTGAAAGTTTTTATGAACTGTTTTCTGGAATGGTGAATGTTTGATTAGGGCCCCGTGTTTAAACACATTTTTCTACATTTTCTTTCCCATCCATTTTCTGAGGAAATGAAAGTGCCACACAAATTTATTACAGGCCCAGATCCTTTGAAAGTAACGGATTTAGGAATTATGACCAAAGCCTTGTAATAACTGGCTGGCTGTGACCACAAATGCATGAAATACTTAACACTGTTGTTATAGTCACCTTTGAAAGGGTCAGCTACATATAAAAAAGGTCACATAGAACAAGCGCTGGAACGTGAAGAGAAACAAAACTATGTTTTCAGTGACAGATAAGGCCAACCAACCATAAAATGATAAATCTGAAAGATGTCCAGGTCTTATTCAGCAATAGTTTGGGAGAAGTGGTATGATTACATCTTTATTTTCGGGGGAAAACTGTTTATTGAACTATATAAATTGTAAATAAATGTTTGTTCATACAAAAGTATACACCCACCACTATGTTTATTTGAGAACGCTGGGAGCCCTCGAATAAACTGAATTGAGTTGGTGTTTTAATGGAGTTAATGACTTCTTTTTCTTTCCTTCAGACCTGATGATTGCTGCTCAAAACTGATCACTGCTCCCTGGGAGAACGTTACATGCTCCCCCATACTTGGTCTTGGTATTTCTTGATAGCATTGCCAGAGTAAAGGAGTGGTTGGAAAACAGATTGAAAGTAGTTATCAGCAGATAGCTGTTCTTTCCAGAAAACCAGACTCTATAGTAGACACATCCAGGTGCTTGCATGCAATGTAAGCTTATACTCAGAGTGCTCCAGGAGCCCATATACCCAAGGTGCTCTATTGTGAAAATTCCAACTGGAGCCTGGAATGTCAAGCTCTTGTCTGCCCCTTTGTGTCCTCCATGCCTCCTCTTTTCTAGTCCCCAAACAGTGTGCACCCAGAGCCAACCACCAGGGCCCCAAGCGAGGAAAGAAGAAATTGGAAAACTTATCAAAATCTGTAGTATATAGGTTATATAATTAATCCACCATAAGATATTTAAATAGTAGGCCAAAGCTGAAATTATTCCACTATCGGTTAAAATCCCCTCCCCAAAGTTGTAATTACTCCATGGAGCTAAGTAGCATAAATATGGTTTTACTAATTCATGTGTACCCATACTTTGCAGTAATGTGAGTGGATTGCCAAGGTTAGACTGCAGTAAATGACTGCAATATAGTATATATCATCATAAGACGTAGTACTAACTCGAATTCTGGACTATATAAAGATCTATTAATGGCATGAATAAACTGATAGAAGATTACAAAGCAAAAACCCCACCTGCAATTCACACCAAGGCTGAAGTGAAGGGAAGACAAGTATGTGTGCAGACAATGGTTTCTTTGCATTCTCGCAAAGCCACAGAGCACTTAAGGAGACTTCAACCTCAAGGCGAAGACACTTACAGTAGTACCACCAGGCTGCAGCCAGGGTCACACTGATCCAGTGTGCTCAACTCACATACAGTATTCAGGGGCCCTCTGTGTGGATGTGTGTTGTTTCTGGATCCTCAGAGCAGAAATCCTTAGTCTGCATTTACAACTCAGCTTTAGCTCATACATTACCAGGACCACACAAAGAGGTCACAATGCCCTCCCAACACTTGATGATTTCATACCGCATAGCAGGGCCCAGGTGTGGGGAGATACAAAACTTTGTGCAGTGTGTTCTTCACATAATTCACAAATGACCCTCCTTAGCACCGACTGATTTCCACCACCAAGGAACAGATACCGTTTTATCTGATTGGAGAACAGGGGCGGACTGAAAACTCATGGGGCCCCCGGGCAATAGGAGATAATGGGGCCCCCTGTGTCCCTGCCCACAGTCAAGCCACACCCATGCTCAAGCCCCCTCTGTCCTTCGAGCCAATCACAGCTAATCAAAGTGTAAACAGACTTGCCTGTTATTGGCAGTCTTTTCCTCACATGCTGTGACATCATGAGGAAATGAAATCCGGTAACCGGCAATTCACACAGGGGACATTTACACTGATAGTCACAGCACTGATCATCAGTGCCCAGATTACTAGAGCAGCCCCATCAGTGCAGGCTAGCAGTGCCCATCAGTGCAGCCTATCAGTGCCACCTATCAGTTTCCATCAGTGTTGCCTATCAGTGCCCATCAGTGTTGCCTATCAGTGCCTCCTCAACAGTGTCCATCAGTGCCACCTTTCAGTACCTATCAGTGCCCATCAGTGCTGCCTATCAGTGCAGCCTCATCAATGCCCATCAGTGCCGCATGATCAGTATCCATCAGTGCAGCTTATCAGTGCCCATCAGTGCAACCTATCAGTGTCCATCAGTGTAGCCTCATCAGTGCCCATCAGTGAAGAAGAAAAATTACTTATTTGCTAAATTGCAGAAATTAAGAAAAAAACTTTTTTTTCAACATTTTTTTTGTTTGTTTTAAAAAAAAAAAATCCCCAGTGGTGATTAAGTACCACCAAAAGAAAGCTCTATCTGTCCCCAAAAAAATGATAAAATTTTCATGTGTTGCATGACTGTGCAATTGTCATTCAGAATGAGACAGCATTAAAGTTGAAAATTGGCCTGGGTGGGAAGGAGGTGAAAGTGCCCAGTAGGCCAGTTGTTATAAAAAAAGAGAAAAAAAAATTTTGTCATCTTGAAGAAAATGTTCTTTGATAGGCTTTGGTTGACATAAATCCCTGAAATACTCAGCTTAAAATCTGGCAGAACCAAGCCAACATCATTGACAGTCAAACCTACTGCAAGGCGTGTGCGATTAGAAGGAAAAGTCTCTGCATGTTCATTCAGCTTTTTCAGCTTTAACACACTCAAATACGTGGCACATGGACATGCTTGGGTCATCCAACTGCCCCCACGGCAACACCATCAGGTAGTGGGTAAACAAAATGACAGTTTGGCTTGACCAAGTAAAGTGTCTGTTGATATGGTGAGGGAAGGGGGGTGGAAATGAGCAAAGCTGGCACCACTTATCTGAATGAAGAGAATCACTGATGTGACAAGGTTTGCCCTATTGACTGCTCCCACAGACAGCAGCCGGCAGACATGAGATCTTTTCCTGATCTGGCCAGCTGTCTTCTCCTTTTTATGGTTACCCTGACACTCAGTTCAGGTTCTGCTATTACTGTACAGTGTCTGCTTGCTTCGTGTTTTGTAGTTTCTGCCACTTATACAAATATAAGTGAAATGTGTAGCAGCAAAAATAGTAAAATAACTGGTCAACACAAAATGCAAGAAAAATGAGGACATCATTGATTATGACAAATAAAATTATAATTTAGGAGTGCTATGTCTCAGCCTGGAATATTGCTGTATAGATGTCCTTTACTTTTTCATTCATCTTATAAAATGGAAATAATAGAAAGGAGGGTAACTAGGTCATTATAAATATAGAGAGAAACAGTTGTATTTGATTTTTATTGGACTTTTATACTTCTGTAGAACTTAACTCCTTGGCGCCGAGCATCCACAAATAGGCAGCCTCTCAGCGGCTGAACCTTGGTGTATAGGTGCCGCATATTTGTGTACCCAATGTAAACAAAAGATGTACCAAGAGCGCATGCCCTGTGCTCTCTCAGCACATTTATCGGGTCCTCACAGAAAGGTCCTGATCACTACTTGCAGTTGGGAGCTTTCCAATCATGTGACCGCCGTAACAGCACATCACGGTGGTCACATGACCCTAAACCTAACCCCGCCTTCCAGCGCCACAAATCCCTTAAAGGGCCAGGAGTCGCCAGTGCCAAGGGGTTAAAATGAACTTGTCAAGATATTGGTAAACTAATATTGAAATAATATCAAACTATTAAACATTGGTAAATTAGTTCATATTTTACAACAACTTTGTCGTGTTCATCCTGTGACTTCTCCACTTACAGAGGAACTTTACCCATAAAAAACTTATTAAAAAATAATGATCTTTAGCAAGGAACATACATTCCACATTAATAATTATGCTACCAAAATATATGTGTGCTGTAAATTGCCTCCAGCACTTTTCCTGTTTCTTCTTGTTGGAGGCTGTCATTTTGCTGAAGCCCAGAGGCCCTGAACAGCAGTAAAACCCATCAACTTAACAATTTAAAAAAAAACAGTTACATTCCTGGTATGCTGGGATTACTAACTGTCACATTAGCTTGTGTCCTCAACCAAACTGTCAAACCATCAAATGGCTGGAGTTATAACTGATCACATGTGCAGAACCATGGCAGTTGCAGGTCAAACAGAAGCAGCTTCCTTGGCTGTAAAGGAGAGGAGGGTTTAATTCCTCTTTAGGGTAGTCAGCAGATCAACCTCTACAAATTTGGCAGTGCCTAAAAATGGGTGAGACAGTATATTACTGGATTTTAAACAGTATAGACACTTATTTTTAATGTTTTACATACTGTAGCTATACCTGCAAAAGGGGCCAGCCTGAAGTGATCTGGCAGGACTTAATTTTCTCCTAAAGTTCCACTTTAATGAGTGATTTAGAAAAAGAACTACATCTCTGAAGTCAGAACACCCTGAAATCCACACTTGTTCTGGGTCAGTGACTTGCTCAAGATGACCCTTATAGGATAGAAATTTGGGAGCTTCTACTACTCACTTATTTTTAGAGGCTCATGCTTCAGGGCTGTCATGCTTATCCTTGCTTTACTACTAAGCAAGTCACAGGCCCAGGACAAGAATGTACAA